ATTTCCTTGGCTCACTGCTTTTGTATTTCATACACAGGAAAAAAGCCCACTTTTAAAACTGACTTCCATGAAAAAAGGTACCAGTTCTCAGAAGTGCCTCTGTCAACTGACAATTGCTGGTAAAACTTTCATGTTCTCTGACAGAAAGACCCTCATGCCATGCATTCATCTGTGATTCACAGATTATCAAATTCTATTTTCCATATTGTATCTGTACTTTCATACACTTAACAAAAATGTAGGAAAAAAAAAAAGAAAATGAATTGTGACTGCTTCTTTTTCATCAAAAACCCAGTGCATATCAGAATTCCTCAAAGAATACATACATAGGAAAGCAAGAAAGCGTCCCCAGGCACATACCTCTAATAAAAATGTACTAGGAGGCTCTCAATGTCCATAAGAAATGCTCTTGCCTTTTTATCAGCACCCATTTACATTTTATTTTCAGTCTGGTTTCTGTTGGGGCATTCCCCAGGTTCACATGGAGCTTGCTGCCTTCCACTGCGGGGCACAGTTTTGTACAACTGCGTGGGTTGGATGTCAGTGGCATCCAATGCTCCAGGTCAAAGACTGACTGAGCAGTGAATGATTGAATTTGCTCTAAAATGGCAACTCTGACCAAGTAAGTGGTGTCTAAATGTGCAGTTATAAACAAGTTGTTAAAGGTTGCAGTTCCAGTTGGTTAAGTTTTTTGCTAAAGGGCAGTCAGTCAGAAGTGGCCAGTGAGACACACACAAGCCCACCTGGATGCATCAGGAGCTTTACTTTATTTTCCTTGGTTGAGCCTGAGTATGCTTTTTCTATAAGCTATAAAAGTACATCAATATTAATTTAATAATTTTCAGTTATAAAGTGTACAAATGGGTAGCATGGTGCTATATAGTGTGCTGAAAAGTGCAATACTGATAGTTCAGATCTGAATATCAAAGCAAGGGATAGTTTTAAGTACATAAAGTAGGATGTGAGCAAGAGGTAATAAACAAGCAAAAGCATCAGCAAAACCAGTTGAGGAATAGCTCAGGGGAAGCTTTTGTAATATTCAGCCATTCCACAGAAACTGGCAGTACTGATCCTGCCAAATATTTTAGTTTACTGGACCCCAAAGCAATAGTGGAATAGACCTCTCCAAAAAGCACAGCAGGCAACATCAGACAGTTTAAAATGCAGTTATCCTTCCTTAAGTTTTTATCTGACAGAATCCTTCTGTCAGGAGCTGACTGGCAACAACAGAAGTTTATACTTTAGTTTTATCAACTCTATCTTGAGGACCTAGAAAAAAAATTACAATTAGTGATGCTCAATGAACTGAATTTCCATTTGTGAACATCAATTAACTTGCCTCACAAGAAGTATGCTGCTGAAGAGTGAAAAACAAAGGACAACTGGGAAATAACACAGGTAGCAATCAACACTTAATTGGTCCTTCTGAACCATATGATTATCTATAGCACTCCTCTCTGGGTTGCTGAGGAGGCGACTGCTGAGCCAGCTCCTGTCTTTCCACCTCCCTTCTGACTATGAAATCCCAGGGCCCTGTCTTCAATCCTACAGGTATAAAATCCCCCTTTAAGCAGCAGCAGGCAGTGTGAGTGCTCTCCAATGACTCCAGCTCCATTGCTGGCTGCTCAAGCTCACTGCTACAGCTGTGCCAGCATCTGTTATTCCAGCACTAAGCAAGCACTTTGGTAAGAAGAAGCACACAGAATTGTCTTGCTTACAGGAAAAATTTTAAACAGACTTATGTCAGCTTACAGAAGCTGAAATTGATTCTCTTTTTTTTTTTCTAGCTCATGACTCTTGCATTCAAGGTTAAATGATTACTTAGGGAAAGCATGTATAGAAAGAAAAACAAAAACAAATAGGAAGGAAACTCCCTCTGCACTTCTCCCAGATTAGTTCAGAGTCGGGGACCCAGGGGACTCAGGGGTCCTTGCTGGGCTCATTTTGAAGCATGAGTTTAATCCTGAGACCTTCATCCTAGATAAATCCCTGAGCAATACAGCTTTGCTTATCCTTGAGCAAGTGGAGGAAATCCCTTTTAGAAGATCTATTTCTCTGCTAACACAGAAGAAAATCAAGCCCCAAATGTTAGTATTTGTCTTAAAAAACAAAAGTCCACCTAGATTGATGATCTTCTTTTTAAAGTTCAGTGACTTTTTATTTTTGAGATGGTAATAGCAAACAGGAAAAAAATCTGCAGAAGATAATCCCATAGGGGAGAGACATTCAACCATGGGAGCCCTTGGGGTTAAAGAAAACACAAAGCCCAGCAAGAACATTAATCATTTCAAGGAGACAACAAAAGATAATGGGCCTGATTTGACCTAAAAACCAGAGCTTCTAAATTATACTCCTGACACTTCCTGTGTCATTAATGTTGGTGATCTTCCACAAGTAAAAATAAATCTTTTAAAATTACTTTTATATTACTGTAACAAGCCTTTACATATACATGCACAGGGAGGGGTAAAGGAAACTTATTTAAAGCACCAATCTCTCTAGTGGGAGAAGCTGAGAGGACAGTATCTCACTGCACAAGCTGTGAAGATAACTAGCCCTTGACAGCACTCCGAATTTCCCTTGCACTCAGGCGTGCAGCATGGGGAACAAACAAGAGTGTGAAATGTGGCTGCAGGTGCAGGGGCTTGGACCTCACTGGGCTCAGGGACACGTGCTCAGGGGTGGATCATGTCAGTGCTGTGCTGCAGCTGAGGGAAATGGGCTTTTAGGAATAGCAGGCTGGAAGGCAAGGAGAGGGAGTTGGTCTTTATGCAAGAGAGCAGCAGGAGTGCATGGATTCTGCCTGAGGATGGAAGATGAGCTGGCTGAGAGCTTACAGGTCAGAATTAGTTGGCAGACCAACAGGGGTGATGTGGTAGTGTGGGGGTCTGCCATAGACCTCCCAACCAGAGAGAAGAAGCTGAGGCCTTCTTCAAATAGATGGAAAAATCCTCAAATTCACATGTCTTAGTCTTCATGGGGGACTTTACCCATGCTGATATCTGCTGGAAGGGCAATACAACAGTGCTGAAGCAATCCACAAGCTTTGATGTACATTGATGACATCATCCACAACAAGTGATCAAGGATGTGGCACAGGAAAGCACTCAGGTGGACCAGATACTTGCAAACAGGGCAGTCCTGGTCAGGGGCATGAAATCAGAGGCAGCATTGGCTACAGTGTCCATAAAGTAGTGGAGTTTGGGATTCTAGGAGAAGGGAGCAGGGCAAAAAGCAGGATCATAGACCTGGATTTAATAAGAGCTGATTTATAACCTCTTCAGAAATTTGGAAGAGTCCCATGGAATGTGATCCTGGATAGAAGTGGGGTCAAATAGAGCTGGCTAGTGTTCAAGGGTCACCCCTTCCAAGCATTAGAAAGGTCTGTTCTGACACATAGAAACCCAAGGAATGTGTCAGGAGGCCTGGCTGGATGCGCTTAGAGCTTTTAACTGCACCAGAACCTAAAAACAGTATAACACAGGGGTGGAAGCAGGGCCACCGACCCAAGTGGAGTATAGGGTTTTCTGATCATGCAGGAATGAAGTTAGAAAGGACAAAATCAAAGCCGAGCTAGAGTTGAATCAGTCAAGAGATGTGATGTGTAACAAAATGTCCCACAAGTCTATAAATAACAAAAGAAAGAGGATTGAATATGAAAACCCACTGCTAAGCTGATCAAAGCGACTGGTGCCAAATTACATAGAACAGGCTGAGATACTAAACACTTTCTTTTTCTTACTCTTTACTATGCAAACTAAGTAGACTAACAAGAATCCCAGGTTCCTGGGACCAGATGGAATGTTTGCAGCAAGGGTGATTTATTGTCAGTGGAGAAAGACTAAACTTGAGAGCACTTTTAAAAACTGTATGTATATAAGACCACAGAACAAATAGGATGGACTACAACCAGTGCTGAGGAAGCAGTTTGATGTCATGGTGAGGCCACTGTCAGTTACCTTGGAATAGTCATGGCAAGTGGAAGAGGTTCTTGAAGACTGAAAGAGAGCAAGTATTACCCCTATCTTCAAGTAGGGCAAGAAGGAAGATCCAGAAAACTCCCCAGGCCAACCTCATCTCAGTCACTGGGAAGGTGATGAAGAAAATTATCTGAGAAAGCATTTCCCAAGATCTGAAAGACAAGATAACCATCAGGAGTGGTCAGCATGGATTTATGAAGACATCATGCTTGACTGACCTGGTAGCCATCTCCAAATAACGTGACTAACTTATTGGTCTAGAGGAGAGAGATGGGGTTTGTGTACCTTGACTTCAGGAAAGGCTTTGATCACTGTCTCTTGCAATATCATCATAGACAAGCTGAAAAATGTAGGAGAGACAAGTGAAGATTGACACAGACAGAGAACTGAATGAAGGACTAGGTCCAGAGGGTTTTAATTGGTGCCACAAACCCCAGGGGTCACCATGGGCTACAATAGAGTTTGATACCTTCATTAAAGACCTGGATGATGGAACAGAATGTGCCTGTGACATGTTCGGAGACAATAACAAACTGGAAGCAGTAGCTGGTGTACCACATGGTTTTGCTGACATAGAAATGGGCAGAGAGGAAACTCACAAAGTTCAACAAGGGGAAATGCTGAGTCCTGCATCTGCAGAGGAATCATGGCAGGCTGGAGGTTAGTAGGAACAGAAATAAAAATCTGATTGGTTTGTCTCTTGTTTTCCAGGACTTCCAGGTGCATCACATGGTTTTGCTGATAATGAGGGAAGGGGCATGAACACATGACTTGCTTGATCACAGAATGGCTGCTTGTCCCATAAAATGGAGTTAATTAAGCTAAGCACATTATCAGGGGCTGAGAGCAGAGCTCAAGCAGGACCCGGGAACCAGATGGCCCTGCCTGAGCAGGGGGTTGGACCAGATTACTTCCAGAGGTGCCTTCCAATCTCAACCCCTCTGTGATTCTGTACAGTCAAACTATGACTTATCCCTCTTATATCTGTATTGTTTCTAACATTGCTGCTCCTCTTTTTAGCTTTGTTTCCTGGGGCCTTTAACTGTTGCATGAAAATTTCAGATGAAATTCCCAAAGGATTTCTCAGAAGAGTGGAGAGATTTGAAATCCAGAAAGCTGATGGCCTGTGTCACCTAGAGGCTGTTATGTAAGAGATATTTTGTGTCTTTCACTGTGAAAGGGATACTGCAAGTTAAAACCTATTAGGCAGCATTTAAATAAGTAGCATTTTAGAAAGCTAACACAATTTCAAAAAACAACATTGTGTGCAATTTAAGAAATGTCCTTCCTTGTGATATTTAAACTCGATTGTTAAAATTTATTTTTTCAGTAAATATACTGAATATTATATTTTCAGAACTGAAAAATTACTCATACACCTTAAAGACTTCTCTGCTTTTTCAAATTATTTATCTCCTAAAACCCTTGCCTAAACTCATTAAATTAGCTTTACTTTTGTGCATAAACTATATCTAATTTTTTCCTGGTACAATATCATACCATTTGGATTAAACTGGTACATTTTCTAGACTTTTGCATGATAATCATAGTCAGAATATCTACACAGTAATCTGCTTAGTTATTGTTTATAGAAATGTTTTGCTTTGCACCGTGGCTCTTTTTGTACTGAAGTAATAAAGCATTTTTTCAGACTTTGGAATATAAGTTTAGTCATGTAAACATAGATCCTAATATATTTGAAACCAGCAAAAAAATTAATAAACACAGCATAAAATATAATTTAAAGTTAACCAAGTCTAACTTGGTGGTCTTCATAGTTGAATGACAATTATGATGATTTTTAAAAGCTGGGATTTTTACTTTTTTTCTTTGAAACCAACAACCATTTTTTTTCTTTTAGTCTTCACATGAAAGGCAAAAAGTTCTGTGTGAATCCATGGAACAGAAAAATCAAGAAAAGGATGAAGAAGATGAAGCACAAGATTCATAGGAGCAAATCTCATATCAGAAAGCAGAGAAGAACCAGAATTACCAAACAGAAAGAACAGAAGCAGCAGCAAAATGAAGCAAGACCATGATGAAGATACTGTGGCATACAGCACTGTGGGCAAGGATACCAGATTTCACCAGTGATGGATGATTGTAGGATTAAAATGACTTTTCAAATCTCTTTGTGCTAGAGAAAGCAGAGGCAGAAAACATCACCTGTACTCAGAACAATGCTGATCAGATTATCAGACAAATGACAAGTTGTTCCTGGTAATGCCTTGTAACAAGTACTTGCCATACCTCCTGGATCTTTTGGCAGACTTAAATCTTCCTCTCTCTCTCCCTGCTTTTATGGCAACCTCCCCTGTTGCAATTATTTCTATTTTAACATACTGTTCCTTCTCATTCCTCCATTTTTACCCAGTCCTATCCTTTTCCTTATTCTTCCCTGCCAGCAATCATCTTTCTGCTGTTGCCTGTTTTGTTTACATTCTTCCAGTCATTAATCTTTTTTCTTCATCTTACATAGTTTCACAAACACTTTTTCAGATAGTTCCAGCTTGTTTGTCAACACCATGTCTTTTACCTGTTCTAAGCAGTCTCTACTCCCAGCTGTTAATACCATGAAATATAATTGCAGTGGTAATATCTGATCCTCTTCATAGGATTCAAAGTGTGGCACTCAGAGCTATGCAATAAAGATCATCTCTATTGCTTTTGTTCATTCAATTTTGTTTATTCAAATACTCAGATCCTTCAATACACTCTCTGAAGAATTTCTCATAATTAGAACTGAGGATGACAGTTTGGCTACCCAGTCCATAGCCTCTCTTCTTCTGTTCAGCACTGCCTTCTCCTGTGTGGCACAGTCCTGATTCCCTCCCTCATTCCTTGAAAACTTCAAGCTAATTTAGTATTTCCACAAACGTATTTCATCAACAGCACTTCTCACAGACACCTATAGAGTAAGCAGCTAAAAGGGAAGAAGAGAAATATCTTTAAAAGAGTAAGTGCCATAGAATGCAACATCTCATGAGCCAAAAAACTTCATATAGCAGCATAATTCCACTCTTTCTCCTCCCAGCAATTACTGTTTTTTTCAATCACTGCATTGCACTTAAATGAGCTCCTTTGACTTGCCTCTAGTGTTTCCTTTGAAATTTTTATGTAAAACTACAACCTGCAAGCATGGCAGAAAGCAAGGCTGATGATAGGGGATAGAAGCAGCTGCCGGGAGTTCCCCTGTATAAGAAAGCTGATGAACAACTGCAGCAAGGTCACTAGCGATAAACAGCATACTCCTACAGATGCAAATCTGGGGAAAGAAACCTGACTCCCTCCAAAAGAGATAAGAGAAACAATTACTGCTCTTATGAGTAGTAGCTTTCTGACAGGATTGAGGCAACTGATATAATTCTTCTTCCAGATCCTAGGGAATAATTTGTACAGCATGTACACTGGCATGGCTCCATCTTCTGCCTGCTGGAATAGCATGCAGGAAGTCTGCTGCTGGGAGCAGGAGCTGGAGCTGCCCTTTCTGACTCTGAGCCTGCACAGAGGTTCTTCCTCCCAAGGCTGTGCTTGGCACACTGCTGATGCAGATTATGTGACCCTGGCCAATGCATGCTGAAATGGCACATGCTTTCCACCACTTCATTTGCATTGCCTGGACACCACATGGATAATTAGCTAATGAGTATCACACAGAATCCAATCCCCGTGGGCCCAGGTCAACAGAGCACCAGGAATGCAAAATTGCTGAAGCACTTTACAATACGGCATCAACATATTATATTACTCTTTCTGGCAGTTCCATTTTCTTCCTCATGTTCTGCTCTGCATTTCAGATTTTGAACCTTCTTGCTTCTGTCAGATTTCTACATGGGTTTATGATGGCATCTCAGGTCCTCAGAGCTGTGCCATCAGTGGTGTCATCAATGGTACCAAAAGCTGTGCCATCAACCAGTGACCAGTGTATACGCAACATACTAATACCCTAACTTCCACGGCTGTGCAATGGGAGAGAGCATTCCACAGGATCAGAGTATGGAACAACCTTTCCAGGCTGAGGGAAGGGAAGGTGCGGGAAGGGAAG